CCCCAAAACCCCAAAACCCCAAAACCCCAAAACCCCAAAACCCCAAAACCCCGGTGAATCACTATTTGGTGGATATAATAAATAACTTTAAAAATGGCAAGCTTTTGGACTTGGACTAGTGATGAGAAATTACAGAAAGCGGAGGATGTACTTGTGAAACTTGCAGGGTTGGAAGATGAAGAGTTTAAGTCGTATCCTGTGAAGTTCACTTTTACTGCAAGAGATTGGAAGGAGGATTATAATGAACAAATGGAGTATGTACAATCAAATAGCTGGGTATGCTTCTGAGGTACTTCACAACGTTATGTTCCAATTGAAGACAATGAATACATCTGGACTTATGAATTCGGTGACACCTCAAAACCTCACATTGTGATTGTTCACGGATTCGGTGGTGCTGGAATGATCTTCTTCAAAATGTTCAAACAACTCTCCCAGCATTTCCATGTGTACTTAATCGACATCCTCGGAATGGGTAGAAGCAACAGAGGCGACTTTGACTGAGAAACCTACGAGGAATGAGAGAGTTATTTTGTGAACTCCATCGAGAAGTGGAGACACAAGATTGGCATCGGCAAGATGAACCTGTTTGGCCACTCGTTTGGTGGGTTCATTTGTTCGAAATACGCGTTACGTTACGCAGAGAGGATCAACAAGTTGATGTTATTTTCACCTTGGGCAAGTGAAGCTTGAACTGAAGATCAGCTCAATGGCCTTGAAGAAGAAATGAAAGAGCAGCCTTTGAAAAGGAGAATAAGATACAAGTTTATGAAAGCTATTTACCAGAGATCGACTCTTTTTGAAATGGCTAGGAAAGCAGGAAGATTTCTTGGAAGCTATATGATTAAAAAATTCATTCATGGAAGATTTAGTAATGAACTTGATGCAGAGCAACTTGAAGCAATCAAGGAATATTTATCTCAAATAATCCTCAGAAAAGGGAGCAGTGAGTATGGCTTTGTAAAAATGTTTCCTTACTTTAATAGGAGTGAGAATGCGATTTTGAATCATCTTGATGAATATAATGAACTTAATTTAGAAATATCTTTCTATTATGGAACAAAAGATTGGATGGACACTTGTTTTAACCAAACAAAAGTATCTCAAAAACTAAAAGATGTGGGTAAGAAAGTCTACTTAATCCAAGATGCCGGTCACCACCTTTATTTCGACAATCCAGATGAATCCTGTGATATGATCCTAGATAATTTCAAAACTGGCTTAAAAACTCTAACTTCTAATAATCAAATTCTGACATAATGATACTTCTTTTCTATTTCAATATCTCCTTATCACCACGGGGTTTTGGGGTTTTGGGGTTTTGGGGTTTTGGGGTTTTGGGG